CGGAAAGTGCAAAAGAACAGCTGGTACGACGAGGAGTGCCGTGTCGCAGTGGAAAGAAAACAGGCTGCCTATCTCGCAACGTTACGATCGACCACAACACKTGCRGRATKGGATAGATACCGAGAGTTGAAGAAGGAAGCGTTTCAAATAGAAAAAGAAAGAGGCCGGAATGGGTGAGTACGAAGAGCTTGATAAGCTGGCCGACAGGGGTAATACTCGAAAATTCTACGAAAAACTGCGGCGGCTTACAGAAGGTTGCAAGACCGGAGCATACTCTTGTAGAACCCCCAAAAGTGATCTGGTCGCCGATGCCCAGAGCCTACTTAAATTATGGAGGGAACACTTCTCCAGATTCTCCGATTCCCCAATCGATGACGATGGAGCAAACGTTCCATCGCCCGACCATGATAATACAAATTCCCCACTAAACTTGAAGTTTTTATGTTTTTTCTTTAAAAAGTGGGAAACCTTGAAATACATCAGCCATTATGATCAATTGCGAATCGGATAAATCTGAAGAGGAATGCAATCTTTGGAAAGCAAAAAAAATATATATTTATGGGTTTTCTAATCGCAGATTYAATTTATCATGTAATGCTGCACCACTGATATGTTTTACAATTATGAGCGCGATRGTAGTTCTCTATTCATCACAAGTACTGGAAGAAATAATAAATTGAGTTCGCTGAGAGAATTTTTTTAAGTTTTAAGTTCCCACAAAGAGCGCCTGATAAGTACTTAACTAATATGTTTTGATAACTACACAATTTTGTAAAAAATTTAAAATTGTTARCCTGAAATACAGTTTCGCGCCATGTGCATGTAAATATGTAAGCAAAGAGTTCTTTGTATGAGTGTCAGAAACATACTCAACAACAAAAGCTTACATTGCAAATATTTGTATGTGTTTTTACGCTGCTATTTGTATATATTTTAAAAGCATGTACCGTTAAACTCCATATACAAACGTTTATATTATTATAATATTTATGTAATATATATGTATGTATGTATATACTTATTGGAATTTTGTAATAATCAAACTGTGATTTGCCGTTCAACTCAAACACAAAAAACAACAATAAACATATGTAAATAACAACAAAAAAGTTTAACTGGAAAATTAAACATCTTTAAAGAAAACAACATACAAACATGCAAATAATACTACTCAGTTATTAACAAAACTACGAGTCAAATATATTTTACCCGTTTAATCATATCTTACTATGTGGCTACGCATGCAAAGAACAAGTAAATGTAATAATAATATTTAATATAAAATTGGTATAAATATAAGTTATTATTTTTTGACATATACACGCATTAACAAATTACACCATTTATAAATAATCAACTTACAATGGCCGTCGACTATGGTGAATAAGTACGAGTGGTTTTGTAGGTAGTAGAAATTGGTAGTAGAAGTAGTTTACATAGTAGTAGAAGTGGGTGAGTTGTACATCAGGAATTAAATAAAAAATATAACCAATAAAAAATTAATTTTATTATTAGTCGAAAATTTTTGCTTTAACTTTTGTTATTGTTATTACTTTAGATTTATATTTTTACTAGAAACTAACAATTATTTTAAAGTATGTCTTAAAAAAATTTGTTTTTGATTTAAAAATATAAAATGTGGTTAGAAATTGCTTTAAATTTAACAATAAAACATAATTACTTTATTTAAATTTTTTTTTAAGTGTATAAAATTGTGAGAACTATGGTTCCTTAAAATTTTAAATTTTTAAAGCATCCATTAAATATGTTAAAGTTATAGTTTATTATTAATTGATAGAGATTAAAAATTGCTCAAATTTTATAACATTGTGTAAATATATTAAAGTTTCCACTTTATTTTAATTAT